TACTTATTTCTTAATAGCTTGTAAAATGAACGTTTAACCCCACTAATTTTAACTATGAGCACATTTAGACAAAAACACTGTCGAATAGAACGAATGTTTAAATTTTGAAGAAAGTACGAATTAGATTTATAAAAATTATAATACATTTTTATAGAGCGCTTTTATTCACTTTTCGTCTCTTCTGATTTAAATTTCATTTTATTGAAAACTAAAATAATGATATCTCAATGATTGAATGTACGAAACTTTTTATAAAACTATAAATGAAATAAAAATGAGAATTTCTAACTTTTGACAAAAGTCTTATTTGAATTAGCAACATCCAAAAAAAATGTAGGTTGATTCCATAAAATTATAATCAAATAATCGAATCGTCAAAACTCCGGTGAATGAAAATATCTCGCTGATTTTTCGCAAACATTATCTTTTTAAATTTTATGCAGATGTACTAGTCAAGATGAAAATGTTTTCGAGAAATTTTCATTGACTCAATTAATTTCAAATAGTTTTTCGTTATTTATCTTTTTGTAAATAGCACTATAGGAAAATACAATGCCATTATCATGAGAATGTGCTTTCATACACTTTACAAATGATATTAGAACTTTAAACAAAATGGTTCCTAGTTTCTGTTTCCGTGGAAAGAATCTTTTAGATATCGTATGAAACATCTTTGTTTAGAATGTATATTAACAAAGAGTTTTGTTTTGCAAATTTTTTTAATTTGATTCAGAAATATATGTTTTATGGGATGAATTGATAAAAATAAATTAAAAAACAGAGTCATTACATTATTTCAAATGTTTTAGAAATGATAAGTTCATTTTACAATTGATGAAACTCTATTAGACACATTGAAATTATTTTTATTAGTTTTACGGAAAGAATATAGTTGAATTATTCACATTAGAAACAATCGAAAAAAAAGTTCGGCCTCTTTATTTCACTTGATTTATTCATGACTACATTAAAGACTTCTATTATATTTTCTGCAGCTATTACTATGCACATATATTTACTGACATGAATAAATTTATGATTAATGTTGCCTACGAATTTTGTCATCGAATAAACAATGAATTTCCATATATATGTCAAGTTATATGCGCACATGTATAATGAAAAAAAAACAATATTTAGAAACTATTGAGACGTTTATCATGATTAGATGGCTTTTTTTGTCGTCTAGAATTTGCTATAAAAAAGACTTTTGAAGAACTGTCTTTATAATATTACACATACGAATATGACTCATTGTCATTAGTAGTAGACTATAACACGTATTTAGTCCCTTTTTGATGATTTTCAATCTAAATTTTTCTCATGTTCACGTCAGTATTTGACGAATTACCATTATGAAAATTGACAAATTTTTAAAACTAGAAAAAGAGTATTTTAATGTACGAATGAATTCATAACGTTGAATATGGATGGAAGCAAAGCAGATATATTTTTGTAATACTTTATCAGACTCATTTTGAATAGAACTTCAAGCATGTTTTAGATTGACTAGAAATTCATATTTTCTATATTGAAAAATAATAGAATATGATAAATTGCAAGTGACAGAGATAATACTAAAGTTATTTCGATTGAGATATCAACCAAAAAGTACTCGAAGCACAAAATATAAATCAACTAAGCTGTGTAGATTTACATATTTTTAGGAACAAATGTAGAATTGGATGAAGATGAATGAAATAGTAATTTATTGTTAACAGTATAAAGTCAAACTTAATTTTTCATGTAGTTTGTACTTAAAATAAAAGTTATATTTCTATTACATTCATCAAGCAGTTCTGCAAAAACAAAAAAACAAAATTTTTAAATGTATCACCAAACACTATAACATATACACGTGTAAAACAATTTTATCGTTCTTCTTCAATCATTTTAAACCCATGATGGTGTGTAGGTTTTATCGAAAAAAAAACATCAATTCGTTTCTTTTTTTCGCTATTTATTTTGTTGCCGATCGAAACAGATGACCTACTTAGTTTTGAGAACAGGTACTATTTTTCTAAGAATCAGATTACATCGATATTGATATGTTTTGAATATTGTGCTACAATTACTCCATTCATTTTACATGAAATAGCTAATAAAATAAAATGATTTATACTTTAATGCATTACAGAAAAGTTGATTTTTTTTTTCGGGTGGTATGAAGACCTGAAATTTTCCGGATAGACAACTCACTGGTCGATTGATAATCGGACAGAATAAAAATAAATATGCTAGGATTCTAGAATATTGTCAAGTTCGTATTATCAATTATTTATTTTTGAAAAACAAAGTGATTATGTGTTAAGTTTAATCCCAAAATTTAATTTGCCATGAATATTATTACGCATCTCGACCAATTCACATTCATTTTGATTAGTAAAAAAGCATAGGAATTAACAAATCGATAAGGTTCAATATTAATTTGATTCTGGAGAATTCGTAAGATTTGTACTTTAATGCTGTTCGATTACTACTCAACTAAAGATTCTTTTTTGAAAGTATTAGATTTCCATACCATTTGAGAAAAAAGTCAACTTCCTTGGAATACTACATCGGCTAAAGGGTAAATAGAACAGTGTAACTTTTGCCTTTCATTCATCATTTTTTCATATTATATAATTGAATTCCAATAAACGAAAAAAAAAATAGTTTTAAAGATCACTTACATGAATCTAACTTTATCATCGATTTTGGCTTCGAAATATGGGTCACCATAACCTATAATGTCCATTTTGGGTAGACCCTATGCAAGATAGAAAAACAAAACATATATGAAGAATAATGTTTATATAAACAGTATACTTCTGCTGATATGAAGTTAATAACAATATCATAGCCAATTCGGTAATCGTCAGAAGGTGGTGATGTTGTGACAATTGTTTGCTCAAGACCAGCAGCTAGTGTATAGGATGACATTGGCAAAAAAAACTACGATTGGCAAGCAAGATGCCGTCTTTTTTTGTTGAGAATAAGTATTAACTGACGGGCATAATATACTGACGATAAGCAGGTTTGTACTCCTTTTCTTTCCTTTCGTTCTCTTTTCTTCACCTTACTTGCCTTTTCTCTTTATTACATTAAATAAGATCAATTGTTCTTCTTGTGTTGTATAAAAATCATTATTCCTACAAATAAAATAAATGATTTCTTAGAAATACAACTATTTTATTTAGCATAGCGTTTCTGTGGCAATACTAGAAAACATAAGATTTCATCCAACTATGAAAATATATTTTTCAAGATCTTAGTTCACATGATAGTCTTATCATATTCAAATACACTCAACAGATAATACGTAGACGATACTTATCATTAAAGATAACAAAATATTATTTCATGTATGTATTCGAACGCAACAACTATATTGTTATTCTTTCATAACGAAAATTTGATAGAAAGAAATATTGTTGATGAGTGATCAACAGTATGATATTCGCTAGCGGTACCTTCAACGTACTAAAATTCAGAGTTTTTGATTAAACATATTCGATTGAATCATATTTTTCAGATGTTCGATAATTTAAAAGAAATATCAGTTTTTTTTTCTAATGATAAAAAAGAAATATCGAATACTCCTTCAATATTTTTAACTTTCAAACATCAAATAACAGATATTTTTGAATATTTAGCTTAAATCTTCGAACAAAAAAAAAAGGGTGTGGGATGGGTAAAACGAAGACGTCGACACTCATACACACACCCACACCCTTCTTTTTTTTCTGGTCATTCAATATGAATGTCAATCATAATAGAAACTTCAATGAATCTTCTCATATCTTCTTTCCTATCTACATAAGAATAGATCCTTGAGAGCTTACAGATGAATAGAAGAAATCGTTTTCGTTGTGAGAAAACATCATCATATGATTGGTCGCATTATATTTATCTATTTGTAATTTGGAATGTTTGAAATAAAGATTTGTGAAACAAACTGTTTGTGGTCTTGATCCAGATAAAGGAGTCTTCTTGGGGATACGGTATCGGCAGTCATTAATAAAAATATCTATCGATTGTAATTACTTTTATTCGTTCGCCTTCATTCATATTCACATTAGTCATATGAATCAATCGCCGATCTACCGGAAACATGACTTTGCTCTTGAAACTTTAGGTAAAAACATTAATCTTCACTTCGATTATTCGATACTGTCATCAAATACTTACATGAAATATATTCAAACATTTTTTGAAATGAACTTTGAATATAATATACACACTCTTGAAAACGTGATATGTTATCTTTGTAGAACTTGTAATTAATCTTATGAAACTTATAGGAAAATTATCGCACGAAGCAGTTCTTTCTTATCTACTTTAAAATGTACTATATAACATAGTCTCACATATTTTTATCAAGATACTTCTATCAATACTTTACGTTAATAATAAGTATGTTTAATCGAAAAAAAAATACATTTGAAATGTCGATCTAATTAGTCGAGTTCTATGGCAAGTTCTTCCGAAAGTCGTTCAATTTTCGATTGCAGCTTCCATACATTACTATGCCAAAAAGGCAGACACTCGTTGTAGATAGCCAATGCTTGTTGATAATAATCAAGTGCCAATGTAGATTTATGAAGCTTTTCGTAAATCGTGCCTATGTCTGATAAGCTATTACCAATGTTCTCATGATCTGGTGGTAGAATATGAAGACGCATAAATAAAAGATTTTGTTCATATATGAGAGAAAGTTCATGTTCACTTTTCCGGCTGTGAACCTGTGACAAACACTCAAGTATGTCAGCAATGGAGAGATGTTTTGAAGGTGGACTGACTTCTTTAATTAATAAGCATCTTTCCAAATATTCAATAGCCATATCGAACTGGGACATTTTATAGAAGTTAGCTGCGATCCGATATAGACAACCAGTAATTTCAATATGATCATTGGGACAATTTTCTTCAAGTATGATCAATGCTTGTTGACAAAAATCTAGAGATTCATCATATTTTCTTTGCTCAAACAGAGTATTACCAATGTCCTTGAGACTGGTAGCAATTCTTAATTGATCATTAGATAAGTTAGTTTTGAGCAATGTCAATACTTGTTGTTGAAAGTCGAGAGCTTCATCATATTTTCTTTGACTTTTAAAAGTTTGAGCTATATTGTCTAAACAAGTAGCAATATTCGAATAATTGGATGCATGCTTCTTGTAAAGTGCCACTGCTCGATAATAGAAATCGAGAGCTTCATCGTATTTTCCTTGATCACTCAATATATTACCAATAGTACCCAGACAAGTAGGAAAATTTTTACAACCGGATGAACAATATTGCTCATAAACTGTCACAGCTCGTTGATGGAAATCAAGGGCTTCATCATAGTTTTCTTGCAGATATAAGATGCTACCGATATTACGCAGAGTCTCAGCAATATCAGGATGACCAGATGGATAGCAGTTTTCGAGAATTGTTAAAGCTTGTTGATAACAGTCGATTGCTAGATTGTATTCTTTTTGATCCAATCGAATGTAACCAATGCGACTCCAGCTGTCCGCAATTTTTTCATGATATGAAGAGTAGTTTTCTTCTCGAATTGTTAACGCTCTCTGTTGAAACTCGATAGCTTCTATGTATTTTTTCTGTTCTCTCAAGACATTAGCAATATTAATGAAAGCATTAGCCATATCAACAGGATTTGATGGGCAACATTTTTCGTAAATTCTTAGCGCTTGTTGATAGAAATTGAGAGCTTCATCATATTTTCTTTGCATCCTCAGAATATTTGCAATGTTACTCAAACTGTAAGCAATATTCACGTGATCAGAAGAGTAACGTTGTTTTCGTATTATCAATGCTCGTTGTTGCAACTCAATTGCTTCATTGTACTTTTCTTGATCTCTTAGAATATTGGCAATGTTTATTAGATTCTCAGCAATGCTATCATGATTAGTTGCATTAAGTTTCTCACTCACTGTTAGCGCCTGTTGATAGAAGTCAAGAGCTTCATCATATTTTTGTTGTCCAGCAAAAGCATTTCCAATATTGCTAAGAACGACAGCGATACCTTCATAGCCAAATGGATGAAATTTCTCTCGAATAGCTAATGATCGTTGATAGAAATCGATAGCTTCATCATATTTCTCTTGGCTATAAAGGGCAATTCCAATAGAGTTCAGAGTATTTGAAATGTCGACATGAGCATATTCATGATATTTTTCTTGGATGGCCAAGGCCTTTTGATGAAATTCAAGAGTTTCATCATACTTCTTTTGTTTATAACAAGCACTACCAATAAAGCTGAAAGTACGAGAAATTTCAATGTGATCATCAGCATAGAAGTTCTCTTGTATTGAAAGTGCTTGCCGATAATATTCAATTGCTGCGTCATACTTTTTTTCATCGTCCAAAATATGGCCGATACGATTGATAGTATCAGCTATGATGACACTGCCTGATGGATATAATTTCTTCTGAAAATCTAATGCTTTTTGATGATATTCTATTGCTTTATCGAATTTTTGTTCTTGACGAAGTATTGCACCAATATTAATGAGTGTTGCCGTAATGTTTCTATGACCATTTGGATAATACTTCTCTTGTATTTCGAGTGCGCGTTCATAAAATTTCAAAGCTTCATCATATTTTTTCTGATCCCTGAAAACATGACCGATGCAATTGAGAGTATTGACTTTCTCGCGCTGATATGATGAACAATCTTTTTCTTGTATTTCGAGTGCTCTTTGATGATAATCCAGAGCTTCATCATACTTTTCTTGCTTGCTTAATATAATCCCAATATTGTCCATATAATAAGTAATAGAAGAATGATCGGATGGACGATGTTTTTCGACAGTTGTTAGTGCTCGACGAAGAAAATCGACCACTTCATCGTACTTTCCTTGCTGATCTAAGATGTTGCTAATGTTCTTGAAACTCCAGGCCATTGAGGCACTACCTAAAGGATAATATGTTTCTTGCAGCATTAGCGCTCGTTGACAATAATATAGAGCTTCATCATATTTCGATTGTTCAAACAATACTTCAGAGATGTTATTGAGAGTGTTAGCGATGTTTCCATAATAAGATGGATAATATTTCTCTTGAAGTACTAGTGCTCGTCGATGGGAATCACCAGATTCATTATATTTTCCTTGTTCTTTTTCTACATAACCAATGAAGTTTAAAGTACAAATAATATATTCATGACCAGGAAAACAATATTTCTGTAGAATTTCTAACACTTTTTCATAAAATGTCAGAGCTTCATCATAAATTCCTTGTCCATAGTGAACATTTCCTATTCCCCAAAGACTACCAACCACATCGACATGACCAAATGGATAATGCTTCTGCTGTATTGCCAATGCTCTTTCATGAATCTTCAAAGCTTCATCATGCTTACCTTCAAGATAGAGAATGTAACCAATGTGATTGAGAATGTAGGCAATATATACATGACCATTTGGATAATATCTTGTATAGATTGACATTGCTCGTTGACAGAAATCATGAGCTTTATTATACTCTCCTTGACATATAAGAATCTGACCAATGTAGTCAAGGCTAATAGCGATATCAATATGAGGAGATTGATAATATTCTTCGAGCATTGTCAGTGCTTGTTGGTGAAAGATAAGTGCTTCGTCATACTTGGCTTGACAAAAGAGGATTTTCCCGAAGCTACGAAGGCTAATAGCCATAGGCACATGCCCATCTAAGTGAATCTCGCTAAGTTGTAATCTATCGGTTTCCTGTAAGTTTTGACACATTTCTTGTAACTTAGTTTTACTCGACTGTTTATCAACAGACTTCATTATGTTTGTTGTATAGTTCGAATGGAGCCAACGAAAAACTCCTAAGACATATCTAGTCCAAAACCATCCAAAATATGATTGGAAGAATCCATCTGAATTCCATAAAACAGACCAGAACGATGCATCAATATGATTTAACAAACTGCTGTGTTGTTGATTCGATGGACAAACTCTATCAATCTCGATAGAAGAATAATATTTCTCTCGCATTGTCAAAGTTCTTTCATAATAATCATAAGCTTCTTCGTATTTTCCTTCGAGACAGAGAATTTCACCGATATTGAAGAGTATATCAGCTAAGTCTTTCATCCGTGTTGGCCTTACACTCTTCATCCGTTTATAAGCACGATCATAATATTTTCGTGCTGCATTCCATTCTCCTTTCCATTGGAGAACTTCACCAAGACTGTATTCAATCTTTATGAGATCGTCGTTTTTGTTATTCATGTCGTTCAATAAATTTTCAAAAAAATGTTGTGATTGATTCCATTCACCCATATCACACATCAATCGTCCAAAGAGAATTCTAATACTTACATCTTCCATTTGACAACGTGAATCTTTGATATATTTTTCTTTAATAATTTGACCTTCATTTGATACACTCATTTCAATCAACCATATATCTTCTTTCATTGTCATATTCTTCAATCGAAAAGTAACATTTGAATTGAAGAGAATCTTTTGTTGTTCTTCTTCGCATGAAAATTCATTGAAATCAATGCCATAAGCAACAATGACATTGTTGTTCAATTCTTGTAAATTGTATTGAATTTCTAGGAGAACAGGAATGAGATCAGTTCGTTTCGAAGATCGCATTGCTTGATTCAATGCAGTTGAACGAAGAATACTTGTTGTGAAAAATCCATTGATTGAAACCAATTTACCTTTGTACTCTTTGAATTGTTCGATTTGATCATTTGTCATTTTCATTCCTCGATATGTGAATAATATTTCTTGATCAGATCGAATTATCTTTTGATATTCTCGATTGAAACTTTCTATTAGATCTTTCATAACATATCGAAATGTGTATAGTTGATCAAAATCTTTGTTTCGCATTGCTTTGTTGATGATTTTATAGAGAAAAGATTTTCTCAAATACCATTCAACAACTTTCTCTGATCGATATTCCTTTTCAAATTTCCCAATAACTTCCAGTTCTTTGATATTGTCTTGATAGTAGAAACGACAAAAATCAATCATTTCATACTTAGTTTCGTCATTATATGTTAATTGAAAGAGAACATCATGATAAAGTTGAAACCAAATAAGATCAGCAGTTTGTCTCGATAGGTCTTTCGTTAAATATTCATCCTGATCAAAAAATCTGAATGCTTGTAAATTTTGATCGAGAAAATCGATTTGTTCTTGAATTGATAAACACAATAAATCCAAATCATCATAAATACCAATTAATTTTGAATTTTCCACAACTAAATATTCATTATTGACTTTTTCCTTGTTGAAAAGAAAAATGCTATCAATTTGAGATAAACTTGTAATTTGAGGTAATATTTGTAATACATCAGAAATTGAAGAGACAAACAAAATTTTCTCATTATAAATCGATCGAATAAACCTAATACAAGATTCTATTTGAGTATGGAATACAATATAATCATTAATTTGATATAGTTGTTTCTTTATTTGTTTCAAATGACTATTGGAATCGATCTTTGAATCGAACCAAATCAGAGTAAAATCTTCTTTGTTATTAGTTCTGTCCATTATTTCCGACGAATTTTCTAGTAGAATGGAATATATTGTAATGGATAGTAAAAATACTAAGATATGTCAAACAGTCAGTTCAATATGAAAATAATTCACTTTAAATCTTGCAATAATGAAAAAAAAGCACATAATTCAGGTGTCAAATGGCTTTTAGAACCAGTATATAATCAAAAGATAGACCTCGATGAGTTATTATAGACTCTAGTACATTTTGTACTACAAGGTTAACTAGAAACTTGCCTAGAATCTCTGAGAATGGCCTTGGAGGCCCAATTGAAACATACCAAAAAAAAATGACCCCTTTTGATAGAAAGTATACTCGAGTTTAGTTCAAAAATTAATAGAAAAGCTTCATTATATGAAATAAATTCTATCTAGCATAAATTAGCCCTTGATCTTTTATGAGCCTTCGCAGAAAAATTTTTGAAAAATCCTTCTGAAGGCACTAGCATTCCGAGAAAATGGTTTTCTATGAGAAGGCTTGAAGAGGGTACAGTGATTTTTCAAAAGAAATTTCACAAAAAATATACTTTTGTGACGAATGTCCTCAGAAATATTGTAATATCTCGTTAGATAGAACAATTTTTTTCCAAACGATCTGCTTCAGAAATCTTAAAACTTTTCTCTCTACTAAATATCTGAAATTGAGTAAGTTCAGTCATGACTCATTTGAATTAACTGATAAGTACACTAATACTGTTAACAACGATAATAAGAGGCTATCTCGATTTAGGAAGCTTGGAAAACCAAATTATTTAAGAGTGTTCAATAATTTATTGAGGTCTATCATTTGAGTATAAACTCGATTCAAAAGTGATTTGACACTTAGATATGTTCTCTCGTCAGTCATTTTCTTACATGTTTCAACATCATGAATTAGAAAAGTGTCTAGATAGTTTTGAATAATTACTATTCAAAATAATAGATAATTATTAAAATCAATCTCGTTCTTCAAATAACTGCTAGATGAGACTTGTCTACGATGTGAAAATATACAAGATTCGAATCGCAATAAAAAAACGTGAATTCTTGCTCATGTGAGAATAGATAAACTAATAAGAAAGAAGTAATTACTTTTATACCTACATGTTATTTCACGTACCTATTAAAATGAGACTAGTAGAACGAGTGATAATATTTAAATATGTTCGTTGATTAGCTATATGACGTATACATTATTGAAAGGAAGTGACTGTTTTTTCTTACCAACTACGGCTTGTTTATGCGCATATAAAAATTTTTTTTTTCTGTCACAACGTGAATAGACTATGTAATAGACATTCGTCACGCTATTGATTTTGTTCTGTTCTTGTGCAATATCAATCTTCTTTCCTTCTCTTACTCATTTCCCAACTTTATGTACATTATTAATTGCTTCAAACGTATAATGACGTATCTTTGTAAGCAATATATTTCTTCTCTAAAAGTTTTAGAAAAAAAAAATCAAGAAGTTTCAAACTTGAGTAGTCAATCGTGTAGGAAATTAGTAGATTTAGCATAGAATGCTTGGAAAGATGTTGATCGCTAATCATTTTAAATAATCATTACGTTATTGGTGAAGAACATACAAGTTCTATGTGTGTACAAGATGTTTTCGATTGTATACTTTCATAACAGAGATCTGTCAATTAGATAGTACTATTTGCATTAAACTGAAGAGTGAACAATAAATCATATCTGATCGACTTAACGATCGGAGTGTAGGTGTGGGTGTGGGGGTGTGGGTGCGTTTCATTAGTATTAATATACACTGACATCCACATCCACCCACATCACAGCCACAGCCACAGTCACATCCCATACCCACACCCACACCCACCCACCCACACCCACAGCCACCCACCCACACCCACACCCACACCCCACACCCACACTCACCCACCCACACCCACCCACACCCACACACCCACCCACATCCACACCCACCCATAAAGATGCAAGGACGTGATTTTTATTTGAATATATGCCAATCACTTTTTCAAAAAAACAACTAATATTCCATTTTATCTTCAGCAGACTTCAACTGTCACATACACATGGCAGATTAGCCATACCATTGGTAAGACGAAGAATTTTTCTATCGCCCATATCGATATTACAGTGCTGAGCAATAAGACGCTTCGCACTAGCAGCTTCACCATCAGTAACCCCCTCACGATCAGTAAACTCATGAGCACCAAAACCGAGGTTACTACTACAAGTCGCATCAAAACGACGATGCCAGCCACGTCCCCAACGATCCGACTTATAAACCAACCAATCATCCGTTGTCCAATTTT